GTTGAGATCTGGGGTAAGGGTGTGAGCCCCTCTCCCTGGCCTCCTATGTGTGTACTGGAATCTAAGGGGGCTGGCCAGCATTAGGGAAAAGGCCCTGCTGGAGATGGTGGCCATTGTGGGAGCGAAGGGCCCAGATGTAGGGAGAGATGTACACCCATCAGCAAGGATGCACATGACCTGCTATTAAGCTGCTGCCTGTAATATGCATACAGCAGCAGAGTGTGCCAGAGAGCAAGGAACTACTTTTAAACTGCTAATCCCTTTCACATGCCTAATGCCTTCATGGGACCAAAAGGAGAGGTTTAGCTCACAGTTCAACACTCTGAAATGGACCATGACTACCTTTTCGCTCTTGGCCCGATCAGCAACTCCGCCTTTCAAAAATTTCAAAGCACAACCATAACCGTCACTGTAGGGGGGATGACCAGTTATGAATCACTTAGCATTCTTTATAATTACCTACTCACAGTTGCCCCTCAACTTCAAACCCAGGTGATAACTACAGCTGCCTCAGTTAACATTGTCTTCTACAAATAACATTACGCTTTCTACTCAAAAACCAGGACATTAACCCACAAAAACTATGCAATGTAGAGTCAAGATTGCACAGGGGTATCTTGTGTCCTTCCAGAACATCAAGTTCAGCTACATTCAAATCTCTGAAAACGAAATACAGCGATGCCCCCAAACATTTATAACACACATACTAGCACTCTGCCTTTTCAGTGCAGTACATTCAGGAAATAGGCATAGGACCCCTGAAGGACACCATCTAAAATGAGCTCTTTGCTAAGGCAAAACTTGTGTTAGGTGAGGTGTATGAACAGGAGCTACCTACACCTGGTCTATCCTCAAACACTTAGGCCTTGGCTACACTTGAGAATTCACAGCGCTGCACTAGTGTAGTCGCACCGCCAGCGCTGCAAGAGCTCTCTCGCAGCGCTGTAAGTACTCCACCTCTCCGAGGGGAATAGCTTGCAGCGCTGCGAGCGAGCGTGCAGCGCTGCAGGCGCTGATTACACTCGCGCTTTACAGTGCTGCACTCGCTGCGTTGGGGGGAGGGCGTTTTCACATCCCTGAGCGCAGCAAGTTGCAGCGCTGTACAGCGCCAATGTAGCCAAGGCCTTAGCCTGGCCCAGAGACACCACCACATTTGCTAAATTTTACCACCCTTTACAGCGCCTGCAACTTTACACAGAGAATGGCATTTAACAATACTTTCCACCTACCTATCATTAAATCCACAGACCACTCTCATATCCCTCCTCACTGATGACAAATCCTACAGAAAGACCCTTGTGCACCATTATTTGACAAAACCTGCAGAACTTAGCACTGAAATGAGGCATACTGGATCTCTCAAGGTACACCTGAACTTCTTTCTTTTGCTCACACACACAAGGGGAAGGTAGGAAGTCAGAGCAAGATAATTGTCTCAGACTCCCCCACTCCACATGGGCAGGGTTCCCTCAGATCTTTTCATATCACAGTGAAAGCTCTGCCACGCTGCTCCAACGAATGCACCCTCCATTCCATGAAGCTAGACCTAACTCAGTGAACGCAACTGGAGGACATGCAGATAACCCCCAGTGGCTATTGCCAGCTTCAAAGGGTCAGAGTTAAGGTTGCATTGGCACGTACATTAACTGTATTTCCTGGTTTTCAGAGGAGAGGCTTGAGTGTAGCTGAACTCAACCTTTTGGAAGGGCAAAAGTTACCACTGAGCAACCTTACCTGTGGGTTAACTAAGTACTTTGTTGGTGAATTTTACTTCTGTTTGTACAGCAAAGTGAACAGAGAGTGACCCATATTCTATTCTAGTTTGTGCACCATCAATAGAACAGTTAATTAAATCCCATCTGTAGACTCTTTACTCATGATTATGCACAAGCCAGAGGAACTAAGCTTGAATTTCAGGTCCTAGGTTAAGTTTGTAAGAATGGTAATTAAAGAACACTTGCTTACCAAGTGAGCAAATCTCATCTAGACAAAATTGAGAAGCAAACATGGAACCCCATTATGCCAATGTAACAGCCGTTAACGATATGAAATATAAAATATCAGACCTATAGCTATTGTCTTAAAATCATGGGATGAAATCCTGGCTGTATTAAAGTCAATGGCAAACTTCCCATTGATTTCAATGGGACCAGGATTTTACCTGTTCTCCTTTACGTACTGAACTTTATTCTCATTTATTTCTCAATGAATATGCAGGCTCAGCAGACTTTAAATGAATATGCAGGTCAGGGTTGTCCTAATGGGAGGATTTTGGTCCTCCTTTCTCTCTCCTCTCATGTGTCCTCTGATCCAACTGTGACCTTATTTCTTCCTCTTCTTTTTTCTCTATTTATAGTTGTCTCCACATTATTGTTTCACTTTAGTATTGGAATACCTTTGTACTCACTGTCTCCTGAAGTTTCGTATTCTATTTTCTAGGCTTTGCCTCCTTTTTCTCTTCTTCACTTTCTTCTCTGTTCATTCCATCTGTCTCCAGCCTTCATTTCACTGTTCTCTTCTCCCTTCTTCCTACCCTTGCTATCTCCTTCTTTTTGCCATTCATTCACTCTCTCTCTGCTACATTCACTCTTCTCTCAAGCATCCCCTTAGTCCTTTGCTTTCCCTCCCTACTTTACCCCAGAAATAGGCTCCATTTCATTCCTTCTTGCCCTTCTGCAAGCTTCTGTTCCTATCTGACGCAGGACAGGTGGGAGAAATGCAACTAAATCGGATGAAGACTTTCCACTTGCAACATAGAGTCAGAATTAATCAGATTCCATATTGATTTGGTTTTGTGCAGGCTCAAGATATTGTCAGGTGAGTTCACTGGCAACATGTGACTGCTCTGGTGGCAGTCTTTGAGGTGCACATGTACTCAGCCAGCCTGCTGTCAACTGCAAAGTCTTAGCTGGAGGATTTCTCCTTTGGGCAGCCAAAGGGGCAACCAAAAGCTGAGACAGAACACAAGTTTTTGTAAAGCTGATCCAGATGGACCTTGAAAACGGGAACATTCCCACTATAGATGGTTTATACCTGCATATGTAGAAGCTAAATGTACTTAGGTTCATTCATATTTAAGGCCCAACTATATCTGAAGTTGGAGGAAAGACAGAAATGTGCTCTCTTTCCACTTATGTTTTTTTTTAAAATCAGTTGTTCGATAACCGATGTTAAAAACTGACACTCAGTGTGGGTCTTATGGATAAACATATTTCTGTTCAGGATCTAGATCTTGTTGAGTTTGCTTCCCCCGCCATTACTAACATGATAGTAGTTCCCTCCCACACTAAAAATTAGAAGTAGAATGAGGAACACACTTTCCTACATGCAACATTCAAGTTGTGTTGATTTTAGAGCCTAAATATATTGACAGATGAGAAGTGCAGCTTTCAGTAGTTCCTTGTTACTGGTTACTACTGTGCTGCCTCTACAGTTAGTAATGTGGTGTCAAGAACAATTAAGACAATTGTTCATTTAAAGCCTCAAATATTGTACAATGCATCTATTGTAATTGCCAAGATTTATGTAGGGAAAAATCTTCGTAGCATCACAAGTTGGTCATCTGCCTTACAAATCATGCTGCATGTAATTCCTGAGGTTTATGAGATCTGAAAATAATTGCAATTTGCCTGACCCATTCATCTACTAAGACCAGCTGCAAAGCATCTAATCGTCTCTCTACACAATTTTTAATGGCTTAATTAACATGGTAATCACTTGGATTTTGAAATACATCTTGCTTGTATTATCAGTAACATGTACAATGCGCAAGTTGATAAAGGATTCACTGATTTACAAAATGCAATCATCTCTGACATTTATTACAATAAGAACAACATTACTGTTTAATCATTAATAATATAAAATTACTTTAAAAATAGAGAGGTCTTTGAGAAAACAAGAAAAAGAAGCCTTTTAAAAACAGATCTTATTTATGAAGCATTGCATTTCATCGTACACAGTCTTGTACTGTATACCCACCTAGAGGGGAAAAACTATTAAAAAAAACAATGAAAGGGGAAAAAATTGCTGCCAGATTAACCAGCATAGTGAACTTCTACACATTTCTAGGTACTTTTAGTAAAAACATACATTTACTTTTCTGTAAACATCAACTTCCAATTTAGATTCTGCATTTATACAAATCAGAAGGTACCAGTATGAGGAACATTCAAACTTTTTATAAGATTAATTCAATATAATGTACTAATTGTTTAATGAAAAGAACAACAAAGGAGAAAGCAAAATATGCAAAGAGAAGCAAATAGAGCAATGTGGCCCTGGATTATCAGTTTGAATCTCTGGTCCTTGTGCTCTGCAATGCAAACAAAATACAATCAAAGCTAAGAATCCTGCAGTACAAGGGATGGTTAAGTTATTTTGCTGAACGGTGCCATATGTGTATGTGAATTCCATCTGAGGGAGCTCATATGCTGGAAAGCAGTTGCTGCTGGGAAAAAGTAAAACAGAAGAGATGCCCTACGCAGGAATTTCAGTCATTCTGATGATGGAGTCACTGATTTTAATCTGTTAATCGAGAACTATAATTATAGAAACAATTAATTAATTCAGTTCTGATATTTTCCAGCAGATGTCCTCACAAGTCAATAGTGTCAACCAGAGATGCCACCATAACAAAAACTCTGGGGTGGGGAAGGAAAGGAGATTAGATTTAAATTAAGGTGATATGAAAACCTGTAAATAAAAACAAGGTAATGGTAAAAATACACTATCTATTTATCATCTTTAAATACAATCTTGAAAGATTATAAACAAAGGGCAAAAAAAAAAAGGCATATCACTGGCATCTGAATGAATAAATGGCTCTAAAATGGGTATTCACAGTACTTCAGTTTTGTTGTCAGGCTTTCTATCTCCCTCTCCAGCACTGAAAAAGCAAAAGGTTCTAAAAGTGATGTTCTATCATTTTAAACATTTAAATGCAAAGAGTGAACAGCGTGTTTCAGTTGGGGAATAACATAAAACCCTGAACAATAACCTTTTCTCCTACGTAAGAATGTCACTATAAACCTTATCACAGCCATACAGTTGATGTGATTCTGCCTGTACTACTTGCTAGTGGCAAGGACATACAAATGTTGCCACCAAATGGAGTTTCCTGTAAGCATGAGATGCCTTGGGTATTCCTGTGAAATTGCAAGCAGATGAATTTATAAATAAAGGTGATCCTCAGAGTTAGCTCAATAGCTGTGAAGTTGTAATACCACAGTAAAATATTTATCTTACTTGTTCTTTCACATAGTGGACAATCAATCCTCGGTACACTGATATCTGTAGAATTAATAAAATATTAAGACCCACTTAGCTACAGATTCACTTATTCAATCAAGTATTGTTTCTGTAAGGTTATAAAGTAATTTCCCATAGTGGCAACTGATTTCAAAGAACTTTCCCTTCTACTAACAAAAACAGAAATATTTCACTTACTGTTCAGTACTATGAGCAAAGGATAAATAATTTTTCCTTTTTTCACTAGCAAAATTTTAGTGCTTATGTCAGGGAAGGCTGATAACACTAACCAAAGCAAATAAAATGTGACAAGGTGCTATGAATGCTTCATCCCAAACCTCAGTTCATCCAAAATACAGTCTTGAGATGAAACATCCCTTTTTGTTCTCAGCTCTAAAAGAATACAAACAGTGCAGTGGTTTTGTAATAAACATTTGTCATAAGCTAGGTTAAGAATACAAACTTCGGTGTTTCTGAGAGGTGAGAGTACACTGTGTTGCATTATTATAATTATTTGGATGCCCTCAAATAACTCTGACATTCAATGTGCTTTGAGGACTTAATTCTCTTAGGCTCCTTTGAAAATCCCAGCCATAAGTAATACACTCTCCTTCCCCCTACCAGAGCTATTACTGTTAGTCTGGTAGGGGGGATATCCATGGATATCCATCTCGCTAAGTTTTTTTGCCCCATCTGACATAGTACCTGACTGTCTAGTTGTGGATTGGAATCCAGCACAAAGGGAGTTCTTCTTTGGAGAGGACATACCCAAAAAGAGAGAGAACATCTGAATAAGAATGTTTGAGCAACCTTGCGAGACTGAATGGGAAAAGAAACTGAGAAGCTATATCCCCTTATGTGAAAGCTTGCAAACTTTTTAATGACTCACCATCACTGTTAATGGTGGAGCATGCATAGTCTCATTGAAATTTAGGGCAGGAAGGGACTTCAAAAGGTCATCTAGTCCATCCATAACTAACTGTGAAATGGGACCCAAGAAATCAGTTGATGTTATCAAAGTTTTCCTTCTATATTTTCTATACCTACAACTAGGTGAAAAGTGATATCACCATTTAGAGAAATAAAATTGGTTACAAAACCTCAAAGTATTAGGGCTCTTGTTAGCGTGTCATCTGACATTTCAATAGCATAAATGGCTGTATTCCAAGAGGCTTATTGTGCTCTTTTTTAAAAATATGGCAATTTTTTTCACTTGATGTCCGTGAATGACCATGTTTCAATGATGCAGAAATGTCATGCTTATTGATCGATCAAGGAAACATTTTATATAATAGCAATTTGCAGTTGAAATAATATCTTAAGTTTGCTGGAAAGACCCTCTGCATTTAATTTATCCTGAGAAGGGATTATTGCGGATCCTGAATCTGAAAAACAAGTCAGATACAGTAAATTACAACATTTGAGTTCTCTCAGCTTATGCGCAGGGTCCTCTTCAATTGTCCCTGAGTGGAGATATTTTCCATAAACCATAACTCTTATTTTCCCTAATCACAAATTGAAGCTTCCTTCTGAAGCCAAACATCCAGGTGTTTAGGTCCTAATCAGATATTAAGTATCTGTACTTAATACACAGGTTTGCTGTAGAAACACTGTGTTATCAAAACAGACTGTCTATACAAAGCTATACATAATACTAAAGCAAAACAATTCATGGTCAGATTTTCCCTGTGGCTCTGGGCGCATTATGCAAATGTATCAAAGTAAAAAAAAACATAACCCCCGATTGACTAAGTCATCCAAATGGGACTTTTCTTTTCCAGTAAACTGTATAAGGATAACTGTACGCATCCAAAGAAACAGGATATCATTTTATTGGATGTCTGCAGGTAATCTTATCACACAAGGGAGTGGAAGAATCTGTGGCATAGCACAACACAATACCTTATTCTAAACAATTAAATAGAAGGTTAAATGATATGTAGCATGATAAAAATCAGTAGCCTCCATATTTTAGGCACCACTGATTAATTTAAAATAAAATTTAATAAACTGAAAAAATTAACGTTGTCCATTGGTTAATCTATTGCACCGTCTTTAAATGAAACAGCACTTTGAAACTCACAAATAAAAAAGCAGCACTCTCTTTTAATACCAACACCACTGTAACACATACCTTAGCGTGGCATGCAAATCCATATCTGCAGTCATTTTCTGTATTAACAAATGGAATGGTTATTTTCTATTTCAAATATTAGTAGCATAACATGTAAGTGCAGATCATTCTGGCCACAAGTGTGGTAAGCCTTAACAAGTGTGTATTACAAGAGCATAAAATGCATAACATGACACTTACATCCAAAAACCTCTCTTTTTTATACTGTAACAAAGGCCGTCCTACAGGTAGAACTACAAGTTGCTGGACCCAGATCTTCAGTTAGCAGGATTACTGACCTTTCCTGGTTTTATTTAAAAAATAGAAGCAGTCACCATCTAAGCAGAACCATTAACAATCCAGTCAAAAGAATGCCATAGTTCCATTGAAAAAAATAATTTGTCCATTTAGTAAACTCCATTACATGGGAAAGTTTTCATTATATAGGCATGTTAGAGTCTTACAGTGGTACTGTAAAGTCTTTCCTGTTGGGTATACATTTGTACAACCGCTATGATATGGTATAATATTATCAATAAAAATTGGTCAAACTGAGCTAAGCTTCACAAGACCACGCACTGAGTCTTCATGCAATGAATCTTGGCTGGCTAGGCTCAGGACGTGCATGGTATGGCTGTGTGTTATAGGGCTCCCTGCTGGCAGCATACCAGGAGGTGATGGAGCTTCCTCAGGAGTGAGAAACTGATGACCTTCATGTTCCTCTTTTAATGGTATCATGTCTGTCAAACCTGTTTCTGATGTGAGATTTGGCATGGAGGACGGTGGTGTCGGCTGCCCTAGGGTTAGCGTGGCACAAGGAGCACCGATAGTGGTCTTTCCTGGTAAAGGTAGCTCTTCACTAGTTATGCTGGGTTCACTCTGTAGTAGTGGTGTAGCAGCAGCCTGTAAAACGAATTTAGTGCTCTGAATGCACTGATCTTGATCACACTGAAGGGGGTCAAAACCCATTTAGGGCAAACAAAACAGAAATGGGAGGATGTGGACAGAAGAGGTATGAAAAAAATGGGATGTGAGAAGAAAAAAGAGTCATTAGTATCATTCCATGGTTAGACTGCTGACAAAAAAAGAGCATGCATAACTAAACCAGCTGCATTCTGGGATGAAAGTCAGAGTAGATTATGATAAACTTTACAGTGCATGAGAGTCAGGGACTTCAATTGACTCTAAAAAGGTACATTCTAAACAACTTTAACTTAGTTGGTTATTATTTATTCTTACTTGAAAATCTTGGAATGTCTAATGATCAGATTTTGCTTGGTTTGCTGCATATTTGGACAAAAGTGGCAACTCAAATGTCACTGACTCCAAAAAACATTTCAGCAGGCAGCTGGACAACTTTAACACAGCTCCTTTTACTCTAGGATGGCTAGAAATTTAGAAATTTTTTAAAACATATTGCAAATATCTTTTTGAGTTTTAGAGCACTAGGTGTATCTCCTTTCTATTTATTTTATCAGGCTTTGTGTAACCTTAGAATAACTGTGCTATAGGAGAGCTTTTTCAGGGCAAACATCCCTTTGAATGCAGCCAGTTTTGTAAAAATTCATCTAGTAATACAGTCGCATTGCCCAAGATTTTGCTTCCCAGGTTGTTTAAGCTGTTAATATTCTTCAGCCAGGAGATGTGTACAAAACAATTATCAATCTGCAGCTTGGTTGCATGGACTTGATAGAAAAGTTCACTTCCAGGGTTTTTTATGCTGCTTATTCATTTGTTTAATCTTGACAGTGTGGAGGACCAAAACATAGCTGATTAAACATTTGTTTTCTGGCAAACATCCAAGATTTTTTAAACATAATGGACCAAATTCACTCAACTATAACTCCATTTAAGCCAGTAGAATTACACTGGGTATTAATTTGACCTAAAATAATTTACAAGGACAGTATTTGCAAAAATTAGTCAGTCAATCCCCAAGGTGGCTGAGTTGTAAACCACAATACCGTAATATGTCCAACTAACTAAAAATTGCAACACGTTCATGGGCAAACCATTGATTGGCCAAGATATCGTCCCTTCTTCAAAAAATCTATACCAAGGCATCAGTGTTGAGGTAACTGCCCTTTAAGGGACAGACTAGGAGTAATCAAGGAGGCCGTGCCCACCCTAGGGTTGGGCTATCTAAACATGAAGAGGCAGCTGAGAGAGAGAGGGGTGAGTAGAAGCCATGTATGCTGTAGTGGGTGGTGATTTCTTTGTCTCCAGGAGACCGGCCTAATCAGACTCACATACTTGGTATTATGTCTGAGAGCTTTGAACCAGGGTCCGGAGGTGAGGGTCTTATGAACCACTTGTTGTAATTGCTCCTGCCCTTATGCCTTATTAAAGAGAACATGCTATTTTATTAGTGTGTATTGGCTTCTCCTCTGTCTTCCCCTGCTGCTCCCAGGCTGTTAAAGTGAACCTACTACTGCCCCAATCAGGGGAAATTAAGGTGGAGCACAGCACCCTACTCACACCCCTGAGTTACATAAGTTTTGCCAACATAGGCTGTCGTGTAGACATATCCTTAATCAACTGCCTGCCACTTCCTTCATCAATTGGCATTGGTGCACCACTCAGATCTCTCACCAAGCAAAATGGCTTCACAGAAGCTACAATAAAATATAGTGCATAATGACCACATAATCCCAATACATAGGGCAAAAATGATAAGAGAGTCTAAATGGCTTAGGAGCCTAACTCCCATTTCCTTTTAGTGGGACTTGGGCATTTTTGAAACTTTTACCCACAATGTAGTTTGTATACTCCTTATGCATTTTGATCTTCCAGAATGATGTATACATTGAGTTTCAAATACATTCTTTTCTTTCATACAATCCTCTTATTCAAGGCCTGGTGGTGAGCACTCAGGCCTGGATCTAGCAAAGCACTGAAACATGTAAGTAGTCCCCATATGACTTCAAAAGCTTAAAACCGAGCACATGCTTCAGTGCTTTGATGGGCAGGGGCAGAGTGCTCAGCACTTTGCAGGATCAAGTCCTTGACTGGCTGTTTATTGTGAAGACCCATTCTTGATTAATAAGTGGCTATTTCACCCCATCCCAAGTAATTAACTAAGCTATAGCCCCTACATCAACCTTATTAGGAATGCCCTACAAAAATGGGGTCAGCATTCTAATCCTTCCAAAGAGACAACAAATTCCATCTTCTCTGAGAAGTACTAGTCAAAGACTATACTCTTACATAACAAAGGCTATAACCACCAGAGCATACTCATAATAAATAATTTTAGCAGCTGATTTATTGCCTTAGTGATGTTTCAGCATTTATCTTCAAAAGCAGATAGTTGCCCAATGTGTTCCAGCACCATAAAAGTACACAATTTAAAATAGCATGAAGGCAATTTACTTAGATTTATGTAATGGTCTGTATTAAATCATTTTTATTGAATTCTAATTCATTGTAACTGAACCAACATCTCAAAGATACCGAGAAAGTAGCTTGATAAAGCTCCATTAAAAAGGAAGCCGTACATCTATCAGACTTTCATGTGTATACAAGAGTATTCTCTTTTTTCTCCACTTCCATGAGACCTCCCCTTTTCTGAAGGTTGGTACCACATCTGATTTCCTGACCACTACTTTCTGCCTGGTACATCCCCAGCACGCAATCCCTTTTCCAAAATTATTTTCAGTAGTTTGGTAAATTCGTGAGCTAAATCCTTAATACCCTAAGAAGCCTGTCATTTGGACCAACTGACTCATAGTTGTTCATATTTCCCTAGTAATTTCTCCCCGGCCTTTTATCAATTGCTATTTCAAATCCCTCTTTTAAAAACACTCCTTCCCACAGTCCTCCCTTCAGGGGAGCAATCACGACAATTATTGCGGGTGGGAAATGAATCTAATAAGATACATGCTATACTTCACTATTCACTCACACTGCGTTTTGTTGCCTCCTTGACTTTGCATACTGTCTAATACCCTAGATTTCAAACTTTTCATGGCAGGCACTATGCCTTTTTACATGGTTTGTAAGTCACCTTGCTCATTGTTGGTGCTATATACAAAAGATTACTAAAGAACAACATATTTCTCACTTCTTACTCTGTGTTAAGATGATTTCCTACCAAATGTGTAGTTATGCCAGTTCATATATACAGTACAATAATTATTAAAGATTTATACACTGTCAACTTGTGATAGCAACAAATTACTTGCATGGATCAATTAAAGAAAAGAGAACAGCCAGAACAGATCACTGATAATCTCTAGTGCTTTTTTGTTGTTCAGGTGCACCATTTCCTTACACAGCTTCTGTTTAGGTTTCCAATATTCTGCATTTTATGAACAGTGATCAAATATGCAACTTTTTATGTAAAATATAACAGTAAACAGCTTTCCACAATCTTAAACAGGCAAATCTTGGGACGTAGTAGGTTTTAAATTTGTTTTGAGAATGGATTATAGTGGGATTTATATTACATGAGGCATATGCATGAAATGAATCTCTCAAATCTATGGCATTTTTATGCAAGTATAGCACTCTTCGGTTTGTGATATACTCAAGCTATCTAAAAGGAATTTGTCTACAAAAATAACCTGAAGGTGTCCCCTGATTACATGATATGTTTCCTAGGTTACACAAAATACAGGGGGAAAATGTTAGTAGGAAGTGCCCTCAAAGATATTCCACTGAATTTTTCAATATTAAAATTTTAGATTAAAAAAACCCTAAAAAGCCAACAATGGGGTATCAAACTATTTATAGCTCAATTGTTCAAAAAGATTAGAGTCAATCCCCTTGGCTCCTTCTTCCCCTAGATCCTATCATCTGATTTTGTTAGCTATACACAGCTTCCCCCTTTTTACTGGAGCAGCTGACTGAGCCTGAAAAATACTGGATCAAGTGCTTGTAAGTATACAAGTTCGATTGTGTATATTATATAAATAGATCTATATCGAAATTTGTCATTTTGATATTTATTTTCACACCAACAGCCACGTACCAAATGCAAACTAGACAATGTGAAAAAGCTAATTCTTTACTTTATTTCACAAATAATTGATACAAAGACCTGTATGCACAGGTTTTCTGAAGAAAATTTGATTTTACCCCATACAATTATTAGAGCTCTTGTTCATATTAATATAGCTCTCACACTCTAACACCACCAGCAGCAAGTCTATTAGTTTTAAATGCAAAATTAACTTCATAGCTAAAATTCTCTAACAGCAATGTCTTTAAAAATGTTACAGTTCTGGAAGTATTTAAGAAAAGGCTGCACAACAGAGTTCTCTAATGAGCTACAAGTAAAACACAAACATTAATAAATGGTTAAGAGGAGGATTGGTTGAACTGAATGATGGAGTTATGACCTAGCGGGCATAACTGAAACCTGGTGAGATGAAACATGTAACTGGCATGTCAGTTTAGATGTGCACAATCTATATGTGAAAGATGGAGGGATGGAAGGTGGAACTGTATATCAATGGACACAATGCCAGCAAGCTATCTTTTGACAGTGAAGGGTAGGATGATGATACACTTGGTAAAAATGGAAGGAATTGTGTTTGTGCAGTGCCTAGTGCAATGGGGCACCAATCCCAACTGGGGCCTTTAGGTGATATCATAATAGAAATATTTACTACTGATAATAATTATAATAATGGAAGGAATGAAAAGCAAAGGAGAAAGTACAATGCTACAGATCACATGGAGAATGAGAATTAAAATTTCATGGATCAAACCTCGAAGTGCTAAAAAACATAAGATAAGTCCTTTCACGAATATCCTTACCCAGACATCTGGAGGGTAACAAACAGATGTATATGTATGAAAACAATTCCTAGGATTTGTGGAGGGCAGCTTTATGACTCCAACTGGAGGCTCTACATCTTGCAGAAAGGGAAGAAATGGAGGACTGAGAATAATAAGGGAACTTGGCACCAGTGACTGTAAACTACCAAGGTACTAAGGAACAG